GTCAACAATTCGCAACAGTGTCTGTATACATTCATATTACAGAAATAGTTCTTCGAAACATTGTTCATGATTTAATTAATGTTTCATTTACATTTACACGCATTTTTCTCTGAATTATATCGTTACAAATTTCTTCATCACAATTTTGATAAGGGCACGGGGGGAGCGAAAATTGCACTTAAGTGGTTTAACCGTTGCTCAACCACGATCGTTGGCGAATCGGAAACCCTAAGAGTGTCTACTGTAAAAAAGAAAAACGACCGTTTCAAGAATTCTTTTCACGTACCTGATACTCCCTAGACTGGCTTAAACTACGGTAACTTTCTCCTGCTCGTTACGCGACTAAATCTTAAATGTGTACGCAAATACGTTTCGCGACGGATTCACGTATTGGTCACTGAGTGGATCGTCGCCGTTCCGTGCGATTTACTGCTGCGAGTGCTTCTTCGGGCAAGCGACCAGGATCTGTTAGAATATCAGTGGCAGTACACAGATACCTTAGGGAATTCAGAACGGCTGAAATGAAAGTAAGATGCGTTACATCAATTAATACAAGAATGAAAAATAAAACACGAAATGAAGTTCGTTGTTTAGATACAAACCTGGTCTGAGATCGACGAGTGAACAATGCTTCTCAACCCACAATATTGTACTTCTGTATAGATCCTCGATGCTCGCCGTTGACACCGAAGCATTGAAAGAAATCATCAAAGGCTCAAGCAATATACTGAACTGAGTAAAATTCGTTAAGAAATAAATACAACAATATCTGGCACACATAGTTGGCGACACAAAAATTAATCAACGAGCAAAATATAATAATGGAAAAAACTAGAACACATAGCTCTGAAAAAGGATACAATCCAAAATTTCCAATTTTCTCGCGTACGCGTGCGCACGTACTCGTCGAACATCTCTTTCATTTTGCTAGTTCTGTGTCTAGAAATCGGAGCACCCGTTGCAGGAAGCATAGACTGACAATTACTGGAAAATAATTCATTGCGTTATTCAATAATCGAGCATTTGAAATACAGTGGTTCTTTGTGTTCGGTTATCTTTACCTAATCGACGTATTAAGGCACTCGATTTGATGTCTTAAGCTATCCATCTCCTCCTTCAGTAGATTCCTTTCCGCCCTCAGTTGTCTGATATAATCCGCCCCCTTTTGTAACATGACAGCCTTGCTCAGCTTCGGGTTCGGATTCTGACTGAGCTGCGGTATTAGACTGTGCAGCATGTCGAAACCGTTCTTAATATTATATCTGCGTTTTTGTTCCGCATGGATGTGACCAACCCTCCTTTGTTCCTTGTACTGTCCCCGTTCCGTCTCACCCTTTATATACCCTCGGGATGGCGACAACGGGCTCCCTATACTCATCGGACTGTGCAAAGGGCTGAGGCTTAACGCCTGGGGGCTGTGAGCGTTCGAACTGTCTTTCGGCGAACCGGGGCTATTTTGTGGCTGGTGTGATTGAGTGTTTGTATTTAATAACATTTGCTGGCTGCAAGTAGACTGTTGCATCGCCTTAACATGCAAAATACACACACACACTCGTACGCTTTGATATATTACCGTTTATATAAGACAATGTTTTATTATTATCGATATCGGCGTTACGTAATCGAAAGACACGTGAAACGTATAAATAAGACTCGTGAATACCTCTCGGAAAAACGATACCATGGCTTGACCTATTAATTTGCCGCCAGAATTCCGAACGATCTCTTTCTACTTAGAGGAATATAATCATCGAAGGAAAGAAAGATTGATCGGATCTGTTGCTTGAAACGTTTCACGGATCTTACGGAGATCTTCGGTGAGAATACTATGAAGCGTACCTGTTGCTGCGGTTGCACTTGGACTGTAGCGGTTTGCATCGTTTGAACAGTGATCGGCGTGGTGATTTGATGGGTGGTCGTCACCTGCGTAGGCGAAGCTGAAGGTGGAAGCATGGGTAAGATGTGTTTCATAGTGGTGGCTGTTTGGTTCACTGTCGGCATTATATTATCAGCCGGACTATTCATTGTGTATATACCAGATGTGTCTATGTAACGATATTGAATCTCTCATAATATTCTTTTATCATCGGGTGAAAAGGTATAATACCACGAGCGATTTTTTTTTTTCTCTTAATAATCGCGCCTCAGGCGCCAAATACTATAATAGGAAAATTAAGAACCGTGCAAAGAGTACGTTTCTTAGTATACATACTATTCGTGAGTAACTGTGCGAGCAATACATTGTTATTTAGATTTAGAGCGGGATCACTCGCTGCAGACACTAAAGGCGGCGGATGCATTCTCGGTGCAGTTAGCGACGAGCTACTTCGAGATCTACTCCTCGCTTTCATCTGATACTGAAACGGCACAAAACGTATCGTTAAATTAACTGCGAGATTCGTTATATCGAATAATTCTATCCCGTTTGACTTTCGGAGAATCGGTGTAAAATTAATTTCAACAGAAATTATTTTTACATGATTTGGAAAGTGCGTACTAATTACTACTCTGACAATCAATGTTTCAGAACTGTTTCTACGAAAGTGTCCAATTTTTATATAAGAAATTATTAACCTTGGGTACAGCGAAAACCTCCTCCTTCTCCGAGTTCGCGGTGGCCGGTTGCGGCAACAATTTTGCAGGTTGCACGTTCGGCGTACTGAGATCTAGGCCCGAGGGTCTGCACTGCAACAGTATCGGCGATTGCGATGATTGCTCCGCGGAAACGGACACGACTTGCTGCGGTGGGTGTGTCTGCGAAGCATGATAAAAGTCGATCATTAATCGTGGCTTCTCCCAGTTCTCGTTCTTATGCATTATTCAAACAATTCGCGGAGGTGAGACCAGCATAACGCCAGTACCTTGAAATTATTGGCGTTGAATTTACATTGCTGCGCATTAAAGTTCTGTGGCAGACCAGAGAACTTGTAGCACTGTTGCGGTTGAACAACCTTGTACGGCTTGGTGGACATCGGTGCAACCGGTGGCAGGGGTCTGATGGTTCTGTGCTGCGTGGGCACCGAGGAATTCGTTCCTCCGAAATTCTGTTGCACCGTCACCAAGTTTTGTACCGATCCGCCGATAGGCGATATTTGATTCGCGTGGACTGATTGATCGTTCATCGCCGGTATCTGCACCTGATTCTGTACCGTCGTCAACTGAACAGCTTGGATCTCCATGGCGAACGATTGTTGCTGAGAGGCTTGCTGGTAGCTTGAACTCTGCTGCTGAGCTGGCCGCTGATACGTGCTCGGCTGCTGTTGTTGTTGGGACTGTTGTATCACTCGATTGTTCCTCGATGAGATCCTGCTTGGCCGACTTTTTTCCCTGACCGGCTGCTGCTGACTTGACGGAGCAGGCTCGTACGCGGTCGGCTGTATAGCGTTGTAGGTCTCGCTTAGGTTACTGTTGAGAGTAAACATAATATTGTAAGACCGATAAGTTTTGTATCAATCCACGGAGTAATGATATATTTATTACATATTGTTCCTGAAGGTATTCGTTGATTCAGGCTGAGTATATATCTTAGCCGTGTACTGAAGATTCTGTATAGTGTTCGCTTGGTCGTTCTGAGGCAATGCCGACTGCGGGGCTTGCCCGTTCTTCACCACCGATTCTTGGGCCAGCTCGTTCATCTGATTCATGGGAGTCATTAAGTCCAGAACGGGATAGCTCGAATTCAGCGTGCTGTTACGAAACATATCGTCTTCCTCCGGCACCGGAGGTAATTTCGAATTTAAGAATTCTAAAATAAAACCGATCGATTATCAGCCATTGTTCCTTGCGTCTTCGGGTCAAGTTGATCGCGTTCGCTCACCTTGCAACGGTTCCAGAGTGTCCATAAAATCGTCTAAATTCGGTTGGAGCGGGCCCAGGCTGGGCTGTATGAAATCTGCCAGACTAGCCCCGCGCGCTGTAATTTTTAATAATTATTGTTATAATATAATATAATTGAACTTTTGCACGGTAAAATGAAGTGAAAACCAACTATTTTACCACTTAAACAATAAAGTTGTCTACAAATTGAAATTCTACGTATGTAAGTCTATTTTATTTTTCATTCGATGAACACTCGGTATTGATTATTCGCTTCAATCCATTTTACAGTTTACGTCACAGTGAACTCGCGGTGCGAACTTGAATTAAACAGTTACCAATTTCTCTCGGATCGGGAAAGTATATTGGTTGATTCGAACTGATTGTTGAGAATAACGTATCAGTCATAAGCTCCATGTAATCCTCATCAACCATCATACTCTCTCCACCTGGAGTCCCACTGGTCCCTCCATGTGTGTTGCCAGTACCTGTTCCGTAATTCCCGGCTGTTCCTAATCCGTTGTCCCAATCTAACACATCCATCGATTCCATCTGAAACAACGGCGTGCTCTACTATGAATAAGAAGTGCCAGCAATCTCTCTCCATTAAACAGATAAAAAGAATCTTTCCATCCTGCCATTATCAATCGGAACATTGCTTCTCGAGGTTCAATCGGTTACAGAGGAATCAGTCGACCCCGGCATTTTCGATGTAACATCATTTTCAGGCTCCTCGGTCTCTTCTCGAGCATTACGTAAAATGATAAAGACTGTTCGAAGAAAAATATCAGAAAAATTCCGAGTTATTCCGCGCTCGGATTTGATATTCAGGATTGATCGTGGCAAGGTTAAAGACGTCGAAAAGAATTTCTTTCGTGCATGCGTGCTATGTAAAGGGTGGAATACCATCTCGGTGCCATCCTTGTTCGTCCAACCAAGGATCTTGTTCCGGTAGAACATTCGCCATTTCTTGTACTCCGCAGTAACCGCAGCAAGTTTTCGCTTCCAGTATTTGCCTTCTAAGACCACCGCCTGATAAGAGATACGGCCCTTGTAATTTATGTACTACTGGACGCCGAAACGACGCTTAGCTTGCGTAATCAAGGATGCCTATCGCTTCCTTGTCCGTGCTCGAATCTCATTCGCTTATAGACTCTCAGCATCGCGTGAAATCTTATTGATATCGTATACAGGAAGTCTAATAATCTATCGAGTAACATTCGTTTAACTGATAGAAACGCAGGACAACTGGACTATCGCTTTCTTCACGGGCTTTCAAATGAAAATTCGATATTACTAAACAAAACAAAATGGCGCCTGCCACACGGCAAATACTTTAAGACGCTCTGTGCAAGTCCGTAAATTTAGCATACCGGTGAAAAAGCTACAATACAGATGCTTGATAAACATACCTCGGGTTTATTATGAGTGTCAACATCCAACGGGGATGCGAACTGGCACACCAACGTGTTCTGCTTCAGTATAACTGAAACGACACGAAATCATATGGTCATCTTCGAGCCTTCCAAACCGCGATTCGATCAACGGAGCAATTACGATCGAAATTACGATTAAACGACGCGTGCATCGATTTATAGGAACCCTGTGGATTATCCTGTAAAATCCACACGATTCTACGGGAATATGGAAAGAAACGAATCGATCTTCTCGAGATTTTGATTTCTATCGAATCCTACTATTGAAGGTTCACATTTACGAATGTAACAACGTGATAAATTGAACGGTAGGAAATTCAGCATTCTCATAATGTTGCAAATGATTACTTCACGGAAACAGAAACGATTGGTACATACGAACCGGGTCGGCGTACGGAATCTTGGGATCGGAACGGAACAATTCAAAGATACGGCGCAGTTAGCTTCCCCTTAGCCTAAGTCCATCTTTCACGTAGTCGGTATAACGGAGCGGAGATGCGGCCGTCCCGATGCCGACCTTCCGGCGACGCATTTTGCAGCATTAATCGCGGAATAATTACACAGACAGCCGAGAATTGTAGTAGTCGTCTTGAAGCTGATCTGATCGAGCTCCCGAAACACTCAGTTCGACCTCCCTTCGTTCGACACCCTCCTTTTCCTACGATCCTACCGCGTGCGATGTGCGTCTTCTCTCGAGAAACCAAGCTGGACGCGATTTAGAAAAGAAAGAAAGTGGTCCTGGAGAATGTTTACGAATCAATAATGTGGAACAGAATTTCTATCGGTAGCAGATCACGTGGACGATATTGTAGAATGAAAAGATTTAGAGATTGCAGCAGGTTTCGTTAATTGTGAAATTATTAACAGTTCTCCCCAATTAAAAAATATCAAATTCAATCCAATTGGATGTTAAATATCTTTTCTCCGCTCAGTGTCTATATACATATAACTCGCTTTGAGCACAATAAATGAATAGATACAATTTCTAAGAAACGTAAGCAAAATTTCCAAAGTGTATTTCCTTAAGAACGAGTAATCGTTTGAAAAATGTTCATTCCACATTTTTGATTCGTATCGTGTATAACAATGCCTCGTCTCGATCGATCACGAAATATCGTATACACAACCCTGAAACTTCGTTTCCGATTTTTGTTTAACACGTTGAATGCCATAAAACGATGATTATTTCAACACACTTCTATATTATAATTAATGCTACCTAATGCGGTCACCTTCGGCTAGATGAACGTGCAGTGACAATAAGCAATTCAATCGAATGATTTAATATCAGATTATTTCCATTTTGCGTATTTTGCTCTATGAAATCGTGCGGCATTCGACGCGTTAAACATCGCCGTCAATGAGAAATTCACAAAATGTTTCTCGATTATCGAACGGTTCATCTCGCTGGTACGTTTCCTACGACAGGCCGAAGACTGATAGACGGCGGCTCGTTATCGTCGAATATCCGTGATCGGAAACGCTCCCGCTCGCAAACGCGGCAAGGGTCGGGGGTCTCGTGTCAACGAACGTGTAACACGTGAGAAAAATTACACGCGTTTTTTCCTCGTGTTTCTCCGCGGTGTTTTACGTAATCCCGTTGAAAACGCGCACGGGCCACTCGAGCAACGGACGTAGGTGTTACGTCGTTATACAACTCGCGCGCGAGCCAATATCAACCGCGACCGCCCGGCTATTTACAATCGAACCTGCCCTTTATCAGAATCTCTGGAACGGACGATGAAGCGTTCCATTGACGGGCTTGCAGATGGAAAAATATTTGTTCCCTAAGAAACGAAACTCGGCCGGGTATCGTGAAAATAGAATGAAAGCACGTGTCCAAGATCGACGGAGGAACGAGCGAATTATCTAGACGGAAAGCTCAACGCATTGCTCTCGACACGAGTCGCCAATAAAACCGATACAACGAAATTGTAAAATCTGACGTTCAATATTAAACATTACATAATGCATCAACGAAACATTGAAATGAAGTATTCCTATCCTACGATTTTGGAGTTTTCCGTGTTGTCGACTTTGAAACCCGTGATTCATGCGTTATCGGCAGGCAAGGAATATTTACAACGAGAGAATCTGCCGAGCGCGAACAGCCGAGTGACTCGAACGACGCGTCTCGAATAAGAGTATCAAATAATATCCCGAAACGAGAGAAAAACAATCGGCTTTTCAACCGTCACTCCCGGCGATCGCACGCGAGACCTTTACAAGCTGCTCCTATTTGTCATTTGCCGCTCGAACGAGATTGTTGGCCGTCCCGGCGTCGGACAGGAGACACGCGCGTCGCAAAAATAACGTTCTGGCAGCGGTCTGATCGAAATGTCAGTGAACGAGCCCGCGATTGCACAATGGGCATCGGCGATCGTTTTATTTAAGAGTCTCGCACTTTTTTTCAGGGGAACAGATATCTCTCCGCGCGGAGCGACGCAGCGTCCGCGGCTCTCTCTCCTCGGTTTAATCTTTCCCCGGCGGCGACACGGTAAACAACGCACCCGCGCGCGTCAGATCGTTCCGCGGACTTACTACTTCTTCGACCTGAACCCTCGACGCAACGATCCTAGCCCTCGCCGGAGATTCACATCGACTTTCCGACACGGAACCGAACGATCCGCCGATTTCGATCGAAAGAGAAAGAGAAAGGACGAGGATAGGCTCGCAGTCGTTCGCGTCTCGCGGCAGGTAGTCGGACGAAGGGTCGAAGTAGAGGAGGATCGTCGATCACTGATGCCGCGGATCACGGAGACGCGGTTTTCGCGAAACTGAGTGCGATCGGATCCGCGCCGAAGAAAATCGCAGTGAAACCGTGCAGCGTACTGGCGGGGATTCTTTGTCACTGTCGCGTCACGTGCAAGATATTTCTTTATCTCGTGGAACTACGACGCGTGTGCCTATCGTATCGCCTTATTTTCGCGCGGCGGATATCTTGAATCAATTTAATTTGGCTTTAGATTACGGGGCTTTTATCGCGGCACCTTTGTTTTTTTCGATCGTCGCTCGATGGAAAAGTCGGCTGTCTGTCGGCCGCGCACGGACATACAGAGATCTCGATAAATATTCGAAACGAGACCAGCCGGAAGTCTCGGCGGAGGAACGAGACAGTGGCCGATCGGGCGGGATCGTGGAAACAGAGGAAACCGGGAGGACGTTTCGAAAGAATTTTCCCCGCGTTACGAAATGCTACCGTTATCAGCGTCTCTCCTTCTCGCTTCTTTTTTCTTCAGTTTCATAATCGTTAATTCATGTGCCGCTCGATTGGGAAACTTTTGCGCTTGATACGTGAAACGAGTTAAGGATATTGGGACTATAAATAAAGCGACGCTTAAATATAGAAATCTCTCGAAGCGCTTCCGTCAAGAGAGATGACTCAAAGCGATTCCCGTCGGACGTGAAAGCATTAAGCGTCTTCGGACGACGGTTTTTCAACGGGAAAGAAAGTATGCGCGAGGAAATTGATGCGAGGCGTCTCGAAAGACTTCTTTCACCGTGTTCCTTTCCGTTCGACGTGATCGTTCGATCATACCGGCCCGACGCGAAGCCGAAGCAATAAGAATATAAGCTCTTTGTTAACGTCGCGAAGATGATAGGATCAAGAGAGTGCTTCATTTGAATTTATACAACGTACTAATCCTTTTTGTTCGAACAGTATAGCTGGAAGTAGTTCGCAACGGCGGTGGGGAGATTATAGTTACCTTTTATAGTGTTTTACAAGATCGTAATGAAAAATAGTAACTGAAACTTCATTGACTAAGCTTGTCTTCCATGTTTATTTCTCTAACTATATTGCATTTTTGTTTATACCAATTTTCATCGTGACAAGAATCATTGAAACGTTCTTCCAACCGCTGTTTCCAACTTCTTTCATTCGCGCTAAAGTTTTTCTATAAAGTTATAAGCTTCTCTAACGGTTTCTTTAAAAAGTTTCCATCCAAGTTTAGAAGGACGCGGAAGAAAATTGAAACGACTGATTCCTAGAAGTCAGGCCGGAATGTTCGGTGAACCGGATCGGTCGATCAACGATATAACCCTCGAACCGCGAGCGTTCGCCGTGACAGCTCATCCGAGGATAGAGAAGCTCTCCAAGGAACGGGAAAAACAAAAAGAAGAGCAGCGTTATCGGGTAGCACGGGTTATCGCGCGGAATGATTGTTAAAGGTCATCAAAATTAGCCACCCGACAGCGTCCGTCTCACGGTCTCGCCAGTATTTCCGGTTGACGCGCGGACACCCGCCGCCATTTTCACTCGGGACAATTACAGGATTGTCTGTTGAACAAACACGGCTTGGACAATAATGATGGCGGACGTTTGTTGTTAAACGGGTCCAAGATATTCGCTTGGCATTCCTGAAGCAAAACGGTCGATCCTCTAATTTTCAGTTGTTGTCCAAAAAGTCTTGTCGTCCTGCTTAACGAAACGCAAGGACCAGTTCCAGTTTACAAAATGGTGGTTGGCTAATATCAGAACTACCCAGCAATTAGGATGATTTGCATAGAATTTGCCATAAAAGCTAGAGGAGTGTATGAGTCACTTTGACTCATCTGGTAGTTCTAGCGTTAAACTGTACACTGCTGACTTTCTTCGACTTCCTGAAACGTTTCAGTGCGTTTATTCGCTTGTTTCTAGTGTTTATTGTATACTGACGTCATGTCGAAAACAATACGAGAAGACTTTTTGTCCAACCTAATCATCGTTCGATCGCGTCTTCGGACGATCACATGGAGCGGTTCCTTACACTGCATGTGCCAGCACCTCCAGATCACGTTGTTCATCCTGATCTTGTCCTTCCATCTCAGCCTGATCCCTTTGAACCGATTCCACTTGGGCGATGTCAATTTCTGTCTGGAACAAATTCAAATGCCCATACGTCATACCTACTGTAAAAGTAGCCTAGAGCCGGTCGATCGGCTCGAGGGATCGATGAATAATTCAGCGTACCGGGAGTTCGGCACCCTAAACTGGCGCGAACGAATTGGTTGTCCGGGTCAAATGTAAAGTTGCGAAGATTTCACCGGGTCTGCTATCTTCGGCGACGGTTCACGTATACCGCGGATTAATTCGGCTTCATTAAATTTATACCGCGTTATCGTAAACTCGGGTGCAGCCCGCATATTTCTGCCTCGAACAAGGATCTTCGATCGTGCCTGCGCAAGGGGCTCGTTTTTAGAATGTCCTGAATGTCATTCGACGTCTTTTATCTTATCTAGTTTCTTAATTGAATAGCTTTCGCTCATTGTTTGCGAATAATCGTGAAAGTGGGCGAGCAGACAGGGACGCATTGTTATTTTCTATGCAGTGGGGTCTGATTGAAATTACCGACAACTATTCAACAACGTCAGATTTGACCCACGACAGTTTTAATCGACATTCCCCGCGTGGTTACAACGTAATGAATAAATCTCTAGGTACTATCGTCGGTTAGTATCGTTGCCGATGAAGAGTGCTTGTCGTCGGTGGAGCCTGCGTCGGTGATTTCAAACCGAGTCCGGCGAGTAGAAAACAATGTTGGATAACCAGTCAGTATTTGAGTTGATATTCACTGAAGATAAGAATTCCTACAAAGCAAATTACTCATAGCAACGCTGACATTTGGTTGTTTGAACCTTGGCAACTGAATCATGTAGGTGCCAGCTACTGCACTGAATCATCCCATACCTCGAACCTTATTTAACACATTACCCAAGAATTGAAGAGATCTCCAATTTCTCTCGACAACGCATTGTCTTATGATGTCTTTATTTCCTTTTGTTTCTTACTTTTTTTATAGCCAAGTTATAGAATATAAAGAGTCACTATTCAATCGTTATTTATTGTTTACAACCTTTGCTGTGCTTCGTGAATGTTTTCATTTGAAACGATTATCACACACTCGCAAAAAATTTGTTAACACGTTAAATCCCATCACCGGGGGTCACCGGTGACCCCCAACCAAATCGAATTACTGTAGTCCACTCAATTAAATGATGATTATTTGGAAATATTTCTATATTATAAATAATACTTCTTAATACGGTGACATTCAGCCACATGAACGTGCAATAATAATAATGCAATTCAATCAAATGATTTAATATTATATTTTTTCATTTTGTGTATTCTGCTGGATGAAAAGCGGCATTCAACGTGTTAAAGTTAAACGTCAATGTGCAGGTTTGAACTGCGATCGTTAACAGTTCAGTTGAGACCAAGAAAACACTGTAAGCAATAAGTATTCTTTATCGTGTATCAACGACTATTCTCGTTTCCGTCATAACAACGGTACTGTGTTCAAAAATTGAATATTCATAAACCATTATCGAATTGATTTTCGTGGTATCTATTCAAGTATCCAACAACGATGACTAGGTTTCTTTTTGCATCGCTTCGAAGCTCTAACTTCTAAGTGCACGGAAGAAAAGGAAGAAGGACGAGCCTTTATTTTTGTACAACGAGAGCGAGGCTGTTCGGAATAACACGAAAACGAGAGCATTAATTTCGAGGAGCGGTGAACGCGGTGCAAATGCGCCGGCCGTACAGGCGGACAGAATTATCAACTGAAGTAGTTCGCGGAAGTTGTTAGTCGAACCATCGTGTCACTATAAACGGCTCAGAGCTTAATCCGACGGAGCTTTCGCGCGAGTCCGATAGATTTCAGACCGACCGGGAAAGTTAATCCCGGTTTATCGGAATTATTCGAGCGACGCGTTTCTCCATGGAACTGGAAACCAATTAAATGAGATATCTATCGATCAAAACATAGGATAGGCGTTCTTTAATCCACAAAGCGCTTTCCCAGTTTCGAACGTTCAGAAAACAACTCGGAGAAACGATTTCGGAGAGGCGTGACGGCGAATCGGGAGATTGGAATCTTGAGAACTGGACATTTTACTCGTTGTAAAATTGAAACTGAAAGTAGAAGGATTAAGAGAGACTCTCAGTTCGGGGAAACTACAGCTATGGATTTATCATCGGCAGTCGTTCGGAAGCCGTGTTTACTCGACCGAGGCAAACACTTAGCCGTGTTTATTCGGCCGAGCCGAGCCCGCGTGTTCTAAATCGAACACGATTGTTGGGAAGTCCGGACACTAGAGTCGGGTAAAGTGTGATCTGTTTGCACATTGAAACTGATAATTGAAGTGAAATTTTTATTCGATTACGCGCTATTATTTACGACTATTCGTTGGGATTTATCTGAGTTTTAAGTGTGGATCGGCGGCCTTTGAATTCGAATCTTCAAAAGTATAATTAGAAAACCGGAGTTACGATAGGGAATTGTTTTTCGAACGAATGTTATAAATAACACCGCAATTTGCATATTTTACATATCTTTCGCGTTCCGTGCATTCTGTGCGATTCAGCGGTTCGAAGTTTCCAGTAATGACCGGAATTCCGCTTATCTTTCATTTTTGACACTTAGATCACGTTTTACCCAGGATCGTTCGATTTTTCCCGTCGAACACCGGTTACCGATAGGCGATCGGTGGCGCGAGCGAACGCGAGATGTGCTCCCGTTATCAGCCGTCCACCGATACGTCATCTCCGATCGGATAGTCAACAACTGTGGAACGCCAATAGGAAAGATTTCCAGTGGCTCGCGTTTCACGTTGCTAGGGACGCCTGCGATCTCCTTGGCATTAGACCCTGGCTACCCGAGTACGGTGCCTAGCATTTTCATTTTTCACTCGTGCACGATTAGATAACGGCACCAAAGAAATATGGCCGGGACGATATGTGCCGGGTGACACCGTTTTATGGGAATATCCACGTAAACGCGGGCTCGTAAAACTAAATCGTGCTCGTAAAAGCAATTCGTTTAATGATTCGATAAAGTATTCGTGGCTTATCGGAGACGAAACGACAGTTTCAGTTGAAAAGGGCGGAGAGGATCTTGTTAAACGAATAATTAGAAAACGTTCGTTCCTCTCCTGCCAACGGTTAGAAGCTACTAAACGATTCGTTATCGATCGATCTCGAAAACGATCGGAGCGTTTCGAATAAGCAAACAAGTGTGCGCGCGTCTCATCCTCGATTTCTCAAGAAGCAACGGGTCTTATCGGTGCTTCTAAATTCGTCAATAAAGGGAAGAAAACGAAAGAGAAAAGAATCATTGAAGACGAGGCTTCCAGAAACTGGATCGCCATCGGATCAATCTCTTATCAGCCAAGGATCCCTGACCTGGAATTATCGAAAACCAAGCGGACTCGACCGCTTCGAAGCGGCGTTCGATCTTGGCCTTGTCCCCGGCCAATTTTAAGATGAAACTGGCGCGCGTGTGGCAATTAAAACGTCGTGAAAAAAACAACGGTCTCGGTTTCCACGAGATCGACGGCGCTTATCGCGCGCGGTATCAGCAGCCCGCGTTCTACCCGCTGATCGCCCGCTATTATCTGCCATTAATAAAACAATTAAGGAGTTTATCGCAGGCGAGGCGATTAGGCACGGTTTTGAGAGAAATATTCCTGGCAAACTCTCGAAAGTAGGCAGAGTAATCACGAGTCACGCGGGGATTTACGGTTTAACCGGTGCCAAGACGCGCCTCTTTCCCGGCCAACCGAGCGAGTAGATTTTCTTGATCAATTAGCCTGGGACGGCGGATCTGGTTATCAGATAACGCCGTTTGCTTGCCCGCGGCACGATCGACGGCGATTTATGTATCTCGCGGCGGAGGCGTTCCCGTCGTTCCACCACGATTATCCTCCCTCCCCCCTCCTGTCGCTATCTAGACCTGTTGCTTTTTCTCGCCACCACTTTCCCGGCGAGTTTCTCGGATCCCCGCGCTTTCTGGAATATGCGTTTCGCAAACCGGCGCAATCGCGTCACGTCTCCCACTGCGTAGCAATGTACGACTAATCGACTAATGATTCGATGACACAAGCTACGCGCTAGGATTTTCCGTTGAACGTTTTTTGGAATCGGTCGTCCAGTGTTTCACTCTGCTGAGAGGGAAAACGTTTGAATATAGAGATTAGTTAATGCTGCGGCAGGAAGTTCTTGGATAGCTTATATTCCCTGAATGTTACAAACATTAACGCGTTCGCCGCCATCAGGATTACGAGCGATTTAAACAAGTAATACCTATTCCTTCGTAACAAAGGCGAATGGTATTAGAAATAATTATTAATCGTTTCATATCACAGCATTCATACTACGCTATTTACTATTTTACAGTTAGACCGTAAAACGCGTGTGGCGCTAGTTTACAAGCTGAACAATTTTCTGCCTTCGTAATACCCACGGAACAGACACTTTCGTCTAGTTCTGGGAAAGCTATCGCGTCATTTCCGTCGAGGCTCTCCCGATAAAAGAAACGAACGGCCACGTGCGAGTGTACGTAAAAACGAGGATTTGCATAAGCACCAGCAGCGGTATCGGTGTTCCATTACTTTCATGGCCTATCAGTGGTCTCGACGGTGAAGTACATCGAAGAAAAATCGGTTGAAAACGAGAATTCGACGGTAGGAACTAACAAACTGAGAGACGAGAAAGAGATAAGAAAGAAACATAGGATAAACAGATAAATAAAGAGAAGAGACAGAAGAAAAACGGAGAGAGGACAACGGGGATAAAGTAGCAGCGCGACGATAAGATGTCGAGGTAACGAGAAAGAGCGAGATGGAAAGAGACCGTCGAGGAAAAGCTTCGTGTTCGGCGAAGAAGATATCACGGAAACGACGAACGAGGAAAAACGGAGGATAAACGGGGGAAAAACGGTCCGGGACACGATCGCGCGTCGCTCGCATGCAGCCGAGGATCTATGATTGTGCGCGCGTCCGATGACGCAGTGGCCTTGCATGATAAAAGACACGTTGTGGGACACGAACAGAGAGACGAACACGGCGCGATCATCGCACTCAGAGACAACACCAGAGGCCTTTACGATAATTTAGCTCGATTCGCTTTTTCGTGTGGCGTGCGCGTCCCGCACGAGACCGGAATCCCTGGATCATCCGGAAGCTTCGTCTTCGAAATAAACTTGGTGAACCTTTTTAGTTGATCTCGCGACTTCAACTGGAATTCAATTGATAAGAAACTCTATTCTCGATGCTTGAGTTATCTGAACGAGCACAAGGGTTTATTGAGAGAATCTCTGCGTGGTTCTGTTCGTGTTTCAGCGTTCGGGGAACGGCGAACGATAACTCGAAGGAGGACAGCTCGATTCCTACATGCGATCGTCTTTGTTGATCTTTGTTCTGTTCGATGCTTTTGTTTCCAAGTTTTCCACCCGTTGTTTAGTCCTTTTGCCTCGAGGATCAAGCGTATTCATGAAAAATTGCGATAATTGAACGGAATGAGCAGAATTAAATTCAATTCTATCGCTCCATCTGCCGCTGCAGACCGCGGACACACGAACGCATCGTGCGGTTTGTAATCGAGACACCGAACGCGTTAATACGGTTACATTATTCTTGAAAAGGGGGCAAAACGAAGCGGCTCGAGCAGGCGAAACCGCCTATTTTCAAGGAGAAATTTCTCGTTAACTCTGCGGTGCGGGTTCCGATTAATTCGATACGTATGAAGGATGGGGCGATCGATCGGCACCGGTGAATCGTCGATCGAACGGCCATCGAACGTATCCGAAATGGGATTTCCATTTTTTGTCGAATGTTATCGGGATAGACAGCATCGACGCATAAGGATGATAGCGATCGGAAATCGTTGATCGAAACAAAGTCTGTGGAAAATATTCCTTTTTATCTGGTTTACGGAGCAGATCCTCTGGCGACAGCGGGCGTAGTAGAAATGACTCCGCGGAACGTTCACAGAAGACTGGGATTATTCGTGCTCTGTCGTAACAACGTGGTCGTAGCTATTATCAAGTTAAACAAAGAATCAAACGGCATTAACTGCGGCTCAACAAGTGTCGCTATAATGTATGCGTTGCCGTTTTACGGCGGACGAATTAAGTTCGCGGCGACGCGACGCGCGAACGTTCCGCAACAGGGAGAGCCGAACCGCTCGCTCCCCCGGAGAAATCTATATGATACACGGTGTGCACAGATCGCGAAGTCATTGGGCGTTCGAAACGCTCGTGTTTACCCGCTTGTTGAGGTCAGTTGCAATTAACATAGGAGATATCATCGTCTGAATACATGTAACCGTGATTAGTTTCTTCTGAGCGTGGAAAACTATTCGATTTTGTCGATAAAACTGACCCCTCGATTCAATGTTAACGCATCGACCGTTACGAGGATCTTATATAATGTTCCTCTTTCGTCACGTAAATCGAGATTACCCGGAATCTGTCATCGGGAATTCAGGTGAACCTCGTTTTGTTAATCGAGAATTCGAAACGCAGAGCGAAAGATACGATCGAATTCGAGGGAAACGCTTGATTCGCCGTGTTTTGCACGATTGACGTGTACTGTAAACACACAAACACCGGTGGACTGATAATGAGATCCCCATTAGGTTTACTTTAAGACGGAATCGCGCCTGATACAGTCGATCGTCGGCTGCGACGGCAATTAATGTGCATTTAATATTGCGTACGATCATCACGTTCTCGTAATTGCAATCTTACGAAATCGTCCATCGTGTCGTCCGCGACGGAGCACCGGAAAACAGTCAACGGAGGTATACTCGGCGCATGCTCTTCGAGTTACAGTTACTCGGTAAACGAACGAGCATGCGAGCAAGCGAGCGCAACAGGTGTAGGCAACGGGGAAGCTAATTGGCCGGCCTGTTTTCTAGCAATTCGTCGCCTCGTAGGTGGACGGGGAACGGCCACTCGCGAATTTGGATTATTTCGAGATCATCGAGCCTCAATTTTCCGTCACTCTGAAGAGCCCTCCTTACGTCAAATGAATTATTGGCCAGACAAGATAACGTTTCGTTTATCGAGTCGATCGCTGACTCGAACAACAGCATTTAAAATCGCGACAGGGATAGGCGTCAGCCACGCGACTGATCCCAGATCAATTTCAATCGATACGAGCACCAATTATCGGCGTACTCGAGAGAAATCGGAGAAAAAGAAAAATAGGAAGCTCGGAGAACTTATCGTTTCGTTTTTCCGACGAGTGTCGTAAATAAAATTTTACGAGGCTGTTGTTCAGGATGATCGCGAAGCGTTGCGTCACCGTGACAATTATATCCCTCTCTTTCTCTCTCGCTCTTGCTCTCTCTCTCTCTCTCCTCTCGAGGATAAAAATATATACGCCTTTTCACTTCGCGCGCGTCCAATTGCAGTTCCGACATAAATCACCATCAATCGATTAACCCTTTCATCGCGAACGCGGAACAACAATAGCGGAACGTTATCGGCGGAGTTGCGGTATCGGTAAATTTGTTATCCAATCCCGATTACCGATTTAAACCTAGCCCCCAAATTTGTTTCTAGCGGAGACATTCGCGGTACAACAATGATAAAATCTTAAACTTTCTTTCGTCAATTACAACGGCGACGAAAAATTGGTTCGACCTTGAAGTATTGGAATTTTTCGTGCGCGTATCGGCCGCGGACAAAGGTAGCGTCCAATCTAGCAGATCTTAATTATCGGCGACGAGAATCCCGATATTCATCGATCGCCGACAATGCACGTCAACCGGTTTCTACCCAATGGAAAATATTCGTGTGTTTCGCGGGGGCGACGTTCGATTACACGCCGATAGGATGACCCGTCGAATTGGGTGGCGTGTTCGCAATCTAAATACGCGGTGTTGCCGTCGTCACGCCCCCGCGCCGACTATCCACCCGAGAGAAAAGGGGACGAACGGCTCTTCCGAGCTCGGAGCGCGAAATTTCGTTTCAGATAAATAATCCCGGCAAAATATATTTATTTATAACCGTCGGACAGAGATATTCGGCGTCTGACCGATTCGCCGTTAAAAATACCCGAAGCCGGGGCGTCGGTTGCTGATTAAATTACTGGTTCTGCATGCGGCGAGACTTCGATGGGTGTCGGCCAGTAATAGGCAGTTGAGTACCGGTTTCGCGGCAATTCGATGCTTTCAATACTGTCAAAATTCAAATCGCTTTGAATAGCTTCCGATACTATACTCTAGAGTGTTTTGTAAGTCTTGAACTGGAGCTGAGTCTCTATCTTGTTTGCAATGGGTGCGAGTATGCGAGAATCGAAATTCAGCTTGAATTCAAGATGTTCAAGACATTCTAGAGTTAGGGTATCGAATCCTCTTCAAAGCGGTTCGAATTCACATATGCATAGACATTCGAAACGATTTGAAGTCTGCACAATCCATCACTAATGTCTTCTTGAAACCGATAGTCCTCTCATGTTGGCATATGCCTAAGAGGGAAGAGGAGAAAGGTATGCGCCGATAAGCTGTTTGCGCTCGCGATCTCGATAAAGACCGTCGGCTCTAATCAATAGCAGACTCGCGGCGATCTCTGGAATAACCGACTCGCACGACGAGCCGCATCCTCCTCTCTCATCTCCGCGTGCGCGCGCGCCATTTTCCATATTCCGGTGGCGCTTGATCGAAGATGAGCGCGACGAAGGCGATAGACGCGAAAAAGCATCGGGGAAAGAGAACGGAAATTGCCGCGTCGTCGAGCTCGAGCTTCGTCGAGGGCGAGCTTAATTGCGGTGTTGTCGTGTAGTTCTACGGCCTCTTCTTCATTAATTCAATTGTCCGTTATCAGCCGGAATGCCGCCGGTTACGGCGTTTGTCCGGTTGCCGGGCTCGAAATGCAAACTGGAATCAGCGCCGGTCTACTAATACCCGCGGCCCCGAGCCCGATGAGCCGTACATTGTTGCAAAACGAATGAACGCGGCACGATAATAGAACGGTTTAAGCCGCGTCGCCTGGCGTTCTTCAATTCGTGTCTCCGGAGGTGTCGCGCGCATCTAGCCTCGTTATTTCTTTCCTCGTATCTTTGTAGAGCTTCCTGCGAGATAGTTAGGGTATCTAGTTCCCGGCGTGCTTACAGGTCTTCTCCGATTCTTCCGTCGCGTTCTATGGAGATTGCTGTGCGGAGAAAAAGAGAGCTGGAGGGAAGAGGAGAGAGGCAGGCTAGCGGAACTCCACCTACGAACAGCGGTTGAAATGGAGGCAGCGAGAGTGTTGTTGAAAAGCATCGTTTGCGATTTCTCTATGATACAGGTGGCGGAACGAGGGCCGAGGGGAAAAGAGAAACTCACCTGTAGGCGAGGGACATGCACTGGAACAGCTTGTTCAAGGACGTCTCGATGCTGAGCTGCTGAGGACTCTTCTTGCTAGAGAAACTGCTGGCGAATTTCTCGTGCAGGAAGCCGAGGGGTGCGATGATCGCCATCTTGGCCGCTTCCTCGTCAGGCACGGGGACCGCCAGCTCGTCCTCGTCGTCCTGGGCCTCCGCCTCGAAATCGGAGACCATGAAGTGTCCAGAGTGTATCGTCTCCCTCGAGTCCTTGCCGCCGGTCTCCTTCTTCCCGGCCCCACAACGATGAAAACTCTGGCTCGGCGTCGCCATCGTCAACGGTTTTCTGTACATCAGTTCGGCCTGCATCCCTCTACGGCGGCACTCTGCGGAGCACAGTCACTTCGGAACGTATTCGCATATAGACCCCGTGGTCCTGCTTGTCGTTTCGGACCAGAGATCGATTCTTTTAGACGTTTTATCCCCCTTTACCCGATTCTTTCTCGATCGTCCTTGGAAGCTACCTCCGTTTCGAAACTGTACCGACAACTTCTACGTTCTCGAATTTTGTAATCTATTCAGATAGGCTTGACTAGTGTTCTATAATATTTTTTGCTCAAGATACAGCGACGATTCTAACAAATGTCCTCCCCATTCGAGCTGCTCCAAGCTTGCAACGTTCGGAATAGTTGAAACGGGGTGGACAACCATCAGGGCCGCCGCTGTATTTTAATAAACATACTACAATAGGAGGCTAGTACAAGCGCATAGCGCGTACAACAGGCTACCAGTTGTATTACAGCATAGTAGCAAAGCCACAGGTGTACGTTACAATGAAACACACGACAAGATGGTCTCGTGGTACGTTTGCATCGTGTGTAGTATCGTGATAGGTTCAATATAGTGATGCATAGTAGCGCGGGAGGTATGGCAGAGAAATCGCGCTGCCGTTCCACAACAAGCAGACAAACGATCGGAGCCGTTAATGGCTTATTGACTTCTCTTTGTTTTCCACGCCAACGCTCCGACAAGGAGCGCGAGCAAACGCAACGAGATAGAAACGCGATGTGTATTACGCGCGCCGGCTTTCCCTGGGTTTCAACGATCCAGAAAGGGAGCTTGAAATTTACGCGCAGGCCGGGCCAGGCTTGTAAACGCGGAACGAGGTCGCTTACGCGGAATTCAGCGGGTATTGGTCGACCCCGTTTTGCGAAATCGCTAGGCTGCAAAGTCTACGCTCGTTCACGATAGAACCGAGTCCTTTCCGCCAGACACAACAAACCATCTTTTATCGTTGCAACCGATAACGTACGAATACTCCGCTCGGGTACACTCCTATCGCGCCGCTCGTTGATCCGAACTTTGTTTCCGTTCGTTTGTTCCTCTCGCGACGATCGCGTGGAATCGTTCACCTCGTTCGCTCGGTTTCGAAATTTATTCCCGTGACTCTTCTGGTTTTCCTCGTTATTCGTAACTCCCTTTTCGAATAGAAATCCCAATAAGACACGCTGGAAATACCGACACAATGGGACTAACAACATATAAACAAGCTGATTGGCCGGTTCAACGACCACGGATCGTTAAAATCGCCGCGGCCCGGTTTTCCATGAAAGTATGTACAGTTGACGCGCCAGAATTCTGAATGGTCAGTGACTTCGCGACGCGAAACCATGGCTCGCCTAAAATTAAACGCGACGCGCATTTCGCGATCGGCTCCGCGTACAGCGTTCCCGGGAAACGGATGATAATGGACGCCAGAACGAACGGGTCCGAACGACTTGCCATATAAACGCGAGTCGTCTTTGAATTTCTCGAATCCCACGCGCCGGTCTTCGGGGACAAGCCTCGATGAATATTAGAAAGTTCTTAAGGCTGGATTCCAATGTCGGAATTGATTAACACGATAGTATGGACACGTGTCGATAAGGAACTGCGAGAAATGTATCTCGCGACGCAGCTTAAAACAGCCGGCAGATTTCTGAAAGCAATGACCGTGCCCGCGATGGTTTCTTCTAAACGTCTGCACGTGTTTCATATGTAACGGGAATAATTTCGTATAATCAGGGTTTTACGAAATTTTAATTAGCTCCCGTTCGTATTCAGATTGAACGCGCGACACGTGTCTCCTTCAACATTGGATACGAATAAAAATAGGCAGACCGCGTACATTAATGTGCACACACTTGCGTATTCGAGAAGTGTCGCACAATTACAATATTTAGAATATGTGCGAGTGCATATGGCAGCGAGCGCGGGGTTAAAGTAACAAAGCGCGGTTTCCCAATGTATTCCCCGATCGCGAGCAACTGGCACGCACGCACGCACGCACGCACATACGCTATAGGAACGATCAAAGATAAAATTCGAATGATTTACTCGTCCGGAGACGTAAGGGAAATGAAACTCTCCGCGTATTTTAGGTGCCGCGTAACCGGCGCCGTATCGACCGCTTGCTTTTTGCGAAATTATCGGTATCGTATAAATCGAACCCGCTCAAGGACCTTCGAAAGGCTCGCGCGCGGAAGGTTCGAAGCTTGTTCGGGCAGTTTTAATATGCAGCACATGTTGCACGCTTCTAATAAGAGCGCGTGCTGTAAACCTTCACCGGGACGCATGTTACGAAAACGTGTAACGGAAACCGAAGTCCACTCTAATGGGCATCGAACAGTCGATATCGTAAATTACGGGCTAATCTGTTACAACCGGTTCGGAGGGTATACGATTTTCACCGTGTTACTGAACAGCTGACGATATTTCTCGCGTTCCTCGAATCCAACGGAATTTATCTGCACGGAATGCAAATGGACCAATTTTAATATTACAATACTTTACACAATCTCGCAGTTAAGGCTATCTACCGCAAGCCGAGTGATTTGAAAAAAATTTCTTCAATGTTTCTTTTAATATGTAGCTTCATCGTCACTGCTAAGGTTGTTTTGTATTGTACTATGGTAGGTCATAGAAACTTTGAAACGTCCTACCGGACGAACGTGAGCGCAAAAGAATTTCTCGAAATTAATTGTGCACGCGCATCGTTTTACAGTTTGTTCATTTTTTTTTCAACGTTGCACGTGTACCCTTATCCAAGCAGATTTTTCCTGCAACAATTCCATTCAATGAATGCTTTTAATATTCCATGACATTGTTATCTTAAAAGTGTAATGCCCTTTCGCCCCGGTGTCACATGGTATCGGCGAGGTTAACCGCCTTATCCATTTGTTCGTCAAGGTTTTTTCCTTTCCTCTTGATTTGAACGAAATTTCTGATATACATTCACGGGAAACCGTTACGATTTTTTTCTTCCGGTGGACACGCATACCGCTAGCGTTAGGCTCCACCGATAAGTTTCTCTCTATCGATAAATTAGGACGGGCAAGAGACTGCGATCGCGCGAGAAAAATAACGCGCCGTGCTCTGACGTAATAGTAAAATAACACGCGCATACGATCCGTAACAGCATCGCTACCCATAATCTTCTTTTCTTCATAATGTTACTTGCATTTCTATGGAACGTGCGTAACCCTGTACAAAAGAGAGACATTAGTTCTTCTTGTCGTAATCTTAGTTTTGATCTCTAAGGAACGAGTATTTGAAACGGGCTCAGGGAACTTCTCTTTTTTCCCCCCTAATAAGACACCAAGAACCCTTTCAGATGGGCGCACCTCGGTCTCTTATGCAATCGTCGAGTGTATTTAGGAGTTCGTCATGGCACAAACAAAAACATTCTGCTTCGCCCACACGTGCGCGTGTCCGCGAGGAACGTGTTTTTTAGCGGGGGAAAACATGGCCGCCTTGATTACATCGTGATAACATCACATATTTAAACAGCCTGACGGAATAATGAAATTAGAAAAGTTTCCATGAAACACGATAACGAAACAACTAGTCATCGCTCAAGATACACAAAATCTTTTCTTCGACTCTGAGTACGTGATACGAAATAAAACAGAAAACGGTAACAGGCGCTCGGTCGCGCCGAGGCAACTGGCGTTTTCAATGCTGTTGATCTCGTGAAAATATGCGCAAAACGACAGAACGTTTCGGAGCGACACAATGGATTTGGCAATGATACACGCATGGCACCTGTCACGACGGTGCACGGTCTAAACTCGACCAAGCAGCTTCCGTACTAAGGTTACGTTTCGCCTTTCTCTTCTCTTTGTTATTTACCCATTTTTCGCTTCGAGTACTATTTACATATCGAGTCTAATGTCTAGCCGGAACCTATTGTAACGTCTTTATTCCATGCCAGAAACTCGAGAAATCTAATCGCATTGTGCAGTACGTTGGTTTTCGTAAAGTAAACGGATTCACTGGTCCATTTACAAAACAAAAGGGTGTGAGAATAAAAGAATTCGCGGACGATCGAGAAAGTGATCGAAATATTCGCTCGATTATTTTATTTCCCGGATTACGTTCACGTACGCGCATCACGGCACTTCTCTCTAAACTCACAACTCTCCTCCTCGAGTTTTCTCTCTATCTGGCACTCACCTCTCTTTCTCACTGCGTGTCACCACTCGTTGTCGATACGTGCACAACGTTGCAACTTCGACAGCAATTTTAACGATTCCTTTGGACTTATTTATTCCCTGAATCTTAACCAATATCGTTACACTCACACTCGCCGTCAGGCTGGGCCGCGCGGCGCCGCGCCCGGACGAGGCCCGTACGCGTTATTAGACAGCATACGCTCACTCATACTGGCAGCGACGCCATTTGCACGAATCCGCGTCTACGACGGACGACGGCTGATTCTGTGGCGCACAGCTGACAGGGGCGCGCTTACTAACAGCCAATTACAAACCGCCGTCGAACGTGGCGCCGTCTGCTAGAGGATCCATAAATACGATTAGTTTCGACACAGACTTAAGATGCGTGCAGACGTTCCAGCATATGGGAAATTTTGTCTAGGGCTTCGGGGGAGGCTTCTCTCTGAGGACCATCGTACCATTTCGGTGTCACGCTCGATGTTACCGATAAAACAAGATTTTAGACTTGTTAGTAGGAATCGAATTAGTTATATACTTCATTTCTGTTGCGATCGTTTTATATAACTTGGCAACGATAAATGCATGCAGCGGTGATATTTAAACGATGGTAATAGCATTTACCGAATATAATATCCCTTACCTATTTGTATATATATATCGTCCGTAAACCTCCTACACTCGTCCCTGCGTTTAAGGCACGAATCTACCAGCAACCTTACTGATGAGTCCACTGATAGATCCCGGACGAAACGCTCTCTCTCTTTCTTTCTTATGCTTCTCTATATCTTCATCCTCCATAACATTATAAGCCGTATCACATCATTGTCGGTCCTTTTCCGGGGACTCAATCATGTGGTACGTGATCGAATGTTTTTAAATAATTAATTCACGTATTTATATGTTGTGAAGTACTGCATGTAATCTTTTTCATGGTATGTAGTGTCATCAGGCGGTGCCTCCTAAATCGTTAATATTTAGCGAGTGTAAAGCGAGGTTAACGGATAGCACTTCGTTAGGTGAAGAGAGGTTGAAAGCGATAACAAAACTACTTAATCTCCCCCGTCCGCACACTGCCGGCGCAGCACGCGTGTCAAGTTGGTTAAGTTAGTTGCGCGTCAAATCATTTGTAAACCGATGTTTGTCGTTTCAATGTCTTACGCGGGATGTATTTGCGGAACGTCCGTAGAGTAGTAAAGTGAATACTACTTTCTTAGTAACATTTTATATTTTAATGAAAATTGAAAGATAATAATACTTGAATACTTAAAGTTAAGTAAAATCAATAATGGACATGAAACAAGAATTCTTAAAAGGTTGGCGTATTATATGGTGGTTATTTAAATTATTTGGTTTTCCAATAACAATTCCATGGCTGATGTATCATTTTTACGATCTCATTCAATTTAAACGGAGATCGGCTGCGCTCCGCGGAAAGGTAATTGTTGTATTTTTTGCAGTCTCACTGCAATCAAATTTGATGTTCCAGTTATCAATGAATTCTAGGTTGTAATGATAACGGGGGCGAGTTCAGGGTTAGGAGAGGCATTGGCCCATGTATTTTATAATTCTGGATGTAAAGTGATTTTAGTTTCCAGAAGGAAGGAGGAATTAGAGAGAGTGAAGAATTCAATAATAAATACCCATCATGTAGGCAAAAATTCATTGATGAAACTTTACTTGAATTGTTAATTCAACTAGAATGTTTTCATTTTATATCTGAATTTTTTAGACAATACCGACTCATCCACCTATGGTTTTGCCATTGGATATAACTGATATTAATGCTCTACGAACTGAAGTAGACTTAATAATTGAAATTTATGGTCAAATTGATATCTTGATCAATAATGCTGGCATTTCTTACAGAGGAGAAGTTGTTAGTACAAGTGTAGATGTAGATATAAAAGTAATGCTCACAAACTATTTTGCACAAATTGCATTGACAAAAGGTAAATTGTGATAACAAATGTCTGAAAAAATAGGAAGTTTTTTTTAATACATATGATTTTGCAGCTGTACTTCCATTTATGATAAAACAACAATATGGTCATATAGTATGCATAAGCAGTGTACAAGGGAAATGTGCTATTCCACATAGGTTGGTATATTCATTGATATATTATCTGTATTATGTGAACAATATTATTTAATAGTGTAAATATCTTTATATTAGATCTGCATATGCTGCATCTAAACATGCTTTACAAGCATGGTGTGATAGTTGTAGAGCTGAATTGGCTGATAAAAATATAAAAGTTAGTGTTATTAGTCCTGGTTACATTAGAACTGATCTTTCTCTCAATGCATTAACGGGAAATGGACAAATTTATGGAGGTGAGCAAGAAAGGCTAATGTAGTGTATAACAAACATAATTATTTACACAAAACATTATATTGCAGTAATGGATAAAACTACAGAAGCAGGGTATTCTCCTGAATATGTTGCACATTGCATTTTAAGAGCAATATTAAATAACGAGAAAGATGTAGTTATAGCTACATTTATTCCAAAGTTTGCAGTATATTTACGAACTTTATGTCCATCGCTTTATTTTTGGATCATGCATAGACGGGCAAGAAAGGCTGTAAAAGAATCATAATATTTTATATCACATCACGAAGTATTTGTGATCCTTGTTTTGTTAAATTTTATATTATTTGTACAAAGTTGCACCATATACTGTACATAAAACAAGACATGTTATTTACCCATGTTACAAGTAGGTATAGGATTTATGTAACTTTTTACATACTCTTTGTTTGAAATGGGAAACAATTTTGTTAATTAAAATAAACGAAATTATATTCAAACTATACTTTATTGTTATGCCACTTGGTAGTGGCATTTGTGTACATTATATACATTTTAATACTATAAACGTTTTAATGGAATATGTATCATCTATTATATGAAATTTTTGTAATAAAACACGGAAATCTTGTTTTATAGAATAAATATCCAAAAATAGGAAATTATCAAGTAATAAATTTTGGGTAAGTACAAAATAAATGCTTGAACATGTATACTGACCAACAAATTCACTTCAAGTTAAAAATGACACATAAAAATGAATCCACCTAACGCATAGTTAATTAAAAATGTAGCTTTATGCATTGTCAATATTTTAATATGTATCCGCTTGTATGTTATATCTATATACTCATTGTTACGTCATGACAAGTATTTGGCTAGAAATTGAGACATAAAATGTTCTATATAATGTACAGTGATTGGTATGAAGTCTGATGTCATGGCAGAGTTATTAATGTTTTTTTAGGTGTATTTTATGTACCAGTAACATTTCGAGTTTTTATATAGGATTACTCTAATTAAAAGTGTATATAATGCAAACACATACTTTTCCACATGACTATAATAAAGAATGTGTTTGTAGTATACATAAAATGATTTATATTTATAATATAGATAGAATTAATTCCAAATTCACATTTTTGAACAAACACTAGACAAAAACAAATAACTTCTTAAATTCTATGTAAAGTGTTTTGTATTACTGACTTTACTCCCTTCCATTGTTTTATTACTATTATTTGTTTCTTATTAGCAGCATTAAGTAAATAAACGTTGCAAAATATAAATTTGTTAAATGAACTTTTATATTTTTGTATGTCTTAAAAAATGTGTATATATTTCTTAACATCTTTAAAGTAGAAGATTTTGTGAGTAAGTGGCAGCATTTGTGCTGTGGATGTTACATGGCTATACAATAATCAAGGAAGATGTTGCTTAGTTTTCATATTTTAATTGAAATGTTTAAAACAAATATTTGAAATGCATTATATATGTTTTTAAATATTTTTGAACAGTATAACATATGTACAACTACATTCAAGGATTTATTACTGCACTAACAAACTACATAAAAGTGTTCATTTAGCTTTTGTTGTACCATGTTTACAGATTATGTAATGAGACTATTATATAATTGATAGATATTCTGTATATTATGCCAATTATCATTCCTGCTAAAAAATGTGGTACAAAATAATGCACTCTAAAAAATGTTTTATGTGAAAATTTCTTTCTTTAAATGTGGGCTGTATTTACCTTTGGGTGAGAAAATCTAGGCAACATTCTTAGTAGTATTTTGTATGTAGTGTATTCTATCTACTTTATTTACATTCTAAAAATATATAATTCTAAATTCAACTTTCCAAGTATATGATTTCAATTTTGTATAACTCTAAGAACACTTATATCAGTAGTTATTTCAATTAAGTCATTGTGAGGATACGATTGTGTCTTTCTTTGCGTTAAAATTAACTGTGACAGTAGAATTAACAAGATGGAGATCATAGAGTAACAATATGGAGCTTTAAAAAAATTATATTTTATATGCGAAAGGTCTTAAAACAGATTGCTCTTTCACATACCCTGTTATATATTCCCCTTTCTATTGTAAAATCAGCATCCACCTATGAGGTAGTGTCAAACATAAAAGAAATATAAACATTGAATGATAACATGTCTTTTGTGTAGCTCAACAATCTCCATTAATATATGCAAAAACATATCTGTATTTCTTTTAGTAATGCACAGAGTTCTATGCTAGGCCTTACTACGATCATATACAATACATCGTATGGCCTACTTGACTGCTTTTTACAAGATAGTTTCATTCTTTCTGCAGACATGAATCATTTCATTTAAATGCCTGATAAACCCTCCAAGCACTGATGCTAAGTGCTACCAATGTGATGGTTGTGTGAAGAATCCTTCTTCTTGTATCGTCTTTTCTTACAAGAAAGGTTGGAGATGATGGCCCCAAAACAGCCAATAATTCCACATGGGGTAATTTACTTGTGTCAGTTTCAACTTGGTATTGACAACAGGGATCAAACTGCCATGAAACCGTATAAAGTCCACATGATATTACAGATATGAAACCTAGTGGACCACAAATATAAGGCCTATCACCCCAAAGTAAGCCTGCAAGAAAGGTTAAAATATATATTTTACATAAACAATAATATCATTGTGCATGGAGCGTAAAATATAATATTTATAAACCTGTGGTTATGGCTGCAAGACCAGATAATGCTGCAGTCTTATGAAGGCAGTTACCTACAGCTATCCATCTGGAGGTTTCATCACCTAATTTTGATGGTTCGATAACAATTAGATTGCACTCAGATTCAAGTGCCCTTTCTAACTCATATTCAAATGTTTCATGAGCATTTTCATTATCATATACCTCCCTAATGATGGCGACATGTGAGGAATCATCCCTGTAAGAAATTTATATTTTAGTTCCAACATGTTTCCGTATGTGACTTATAGATATTTTTATATATAAACACTGTTCATTGATTGCTTATATTTTTAAATTAGTAACATTTTTATTTAAACGACATAAATATTATTATGTAATTATATTTCCTATTTTGTAATTACAAAATATTTCTATATGTATTTTTAATAATATGAACCAACCTTTCTGAATCTTATCACAAATTAATTCTTTTATGTGTTATGTAAGATGTTGATTGAAACTAATCAGCGTCAGAATTGTTTGAATACAAATACGTTTCTGAGAAAAGGACTAATACTGTCCGTGATGTTTTAGCGCTTAAGTAGCGTTTCATTGAATTTTAGTGGAATTCGATATGTAATAAATGTATTTTAACGATCGAAGATTTACAAAGTAAATGACAGGAGTTTGGCAAATTTGAAGCAAATATTAAATATAAAAGAAACACACTCTTTGTTCCCAATAAGAAATTGTTTTCAGTTTCAAACTGAGATGAAAATTTACTGGTTAGTAAAATATTCATAAACATGTATCAGAGACTGTAAAAGATTAATCTCTCAAATATGAAGCAATAAGTATGAGGTTATTTTATTTTCAAGTGAATATTGTACTATCATTATGAATTACGTTGTGTATATTGAAGGTAGTTAGAGACATTAGATCAGGCAAAGAAAGCCGAAAATAATTTCGCCTACGAACCTGTCACCAGCTTCATCTACCATCTTTACAGTCAATCTTCCAAATACTGGAACGCTGGTCTGGATGAACCGGAAGAGAAATCCCGAACATCGAACCGGATGCGAAAATCAGCTGATTTCGTTCAAGCGGTCGTATGACTCAAGTTGTACTTTGAATTCCGAATTTATTTGAATTTTTATTTGCACAAGAAAAAGGACTTGCTTTTGGTTGTTTATCTCAAAATTTATTCTTAAAACGTGTCATTCATTTCTTCATTTTTACATCATTCATACTTCTTTTATTTAGTTCAGATTAAAAGAATAATTCTTATAAATATATTTTCGCATATTTTTTGGCATAAAAAGCGATTGATTGAACAATAACATTACTAAGAATATCTGTATCAAACAAACGTCAACGTACATTGGATTAATTAGCATTGCGAAACATTTGAATCGCGTTCAAGTATTTAAACATCGAGAGCTTAAGCAATGAACGCCTCTCCATCAATTAATTAGTATTTAACAGAGCTACATTGTGAGCTGGTTTATGGAATATATAAAGACGAAGCGAAAGCTTCCGCCTTTGTAATTATAAAACATGAAAGTACTCTTCTTACTTATATACTTGTTTCATTCATTGTGATTTTGTACTTCATTGGATCGTCTGCCTTCTATTTTCTCTCTCTCTCTCTTTTTCACATACTTGCACACACACGTACACACAATTGGCCTCCATGTCACAACTTTTCATGTGCAGTCTTATATAGTTCAGTAGTTCTAGCGGTGTCGGTATTTCAGAACAGTAGCAGAAAAATACATTGTATGCACAGTCTGTAGATACCTTAAGTCTGTGCTCAAATATTCGTAAAGGGTTCTAACTTATTGACGTTTCCAAGTACCGAACAACCAGTGTAAAGTGGTTGCAGAAAATTCATCAAAGATGTCGCCAGAAAAAACTTGCGTGCAAGACGTAAAACAGTACATTCCATATATCGTTGGACATCTCTTTACCAACTGCGATTCGTACCGTCCACATTTTATGTTTATCATACAATATTACTAATTTATTCCAAACTGAAATATTCCGCTACTAGACAGGTGCACGGTTAAAAGATTATTTTAAGCAGCACTATGCATAAGAATATCATATTTAGTTCCTAGTTGTCCAGTGGAAGGGGGCGGGTCTCACTCGCGCTGTATCGAATTCGCGTTTCAGTCGTCGGTTGAACATTTGAAAAAATCGCGATAATCCAACGGTTCGAATCGAGTAACGCGTGAAAACGGTGACAAAAGAGAAACGCGAAACGGCGTATTGAAATTCAGAAGGCGGCGCTGCGTGTTTCGCTGACGGAGAAAGGGACTAGTTGCGCGGTGGCGTAGTCCGGGGCCTGGGCGTGCGTGCTGCGGTCGATCGAGCGAGAGTGAGCGCTGCGGACGGCATAGAGGCCGAGTTAAACGGGCCAGATCGCAGATGGACGTCCGCGGGAGCGTTCTGTCATGGAGAGCGCGACGCGACGTGTCGTTAAGTGTGCTCGAGTGTCGTCGTCGTGCTCGTGGTCGTGGCCATTGTCGTAATCGTCGCGTGTGCAGCGTTTCGGGCCGCGTCGTGGGATTATCGCAGTGACAGTCGACTAAGAGAAAGATAGAGAGGGAGCACGAGAGAGAACGGGAGAGCGTGAGAGAGAGGAAAAGAGACAGGCGGATCGTGGTGCTACTATCGATACATCGTGAACTGTGGCAGCCGAATAATTATATTGGAACCACGTCCCCCTGGATCCTGAGACGGATTCTCAAACTGGAAGTGAGAGCAGGAGACATAGAGATATAGTGATATACAGAAGGAAAGAGA